TAGTGTGTTTTGTTGCTGCTATTATTGTCCTAACTGTTTTGAACATTTTAAATCGTTTTAACTGCTTGTTAACATAATCATTTTGAGGATAAAATCACTTGCATCCACCAGGATCTTGACTCCGATGAATCTCATGGGGTGGCCAGAGCACTGTCTAGTCATGTTGTGCTGGATGAGTTTCAGTTGGTAAGGCTCGAGGATGTGGACAAGGTGCTTGAATCGGCCATGGTGACCACTTGCACTCCAGACCCTTATCCATCGTGGCTGATAACAACCAGCAGCAAGGGGGACAGCTGGCTCACCGGGGCTTTCTTATTAGTAAATTAATTATTATTATTAGTTGTATTTATTTATTAAATTTCTGTCCCAACTTTACTCCCAAAGGAGCCCAGTATGGTAAACAACAAGGAGAAAAAATACAATTAAAATGAATAAAAGCATATTTCAAATAAACAAAACATGAAGAACATCTTAAAACAAACCATCATGGTTTATTGTTTTAAGGTGGCTACAAACAGTATATGTCAGCAGCCATCATATGCCTAGGTGAACAGGAATGTTCAATCTGAATGTTAGTAACGGGAGAGACAGAGACACCTAATCTTCACATATGGGGAACCACCATTGAAAAGGCCCTGCCATAGGTGAGTGCCAACTGGGAAACATTCAGGGGCATCACCACCACCAACAGGCCCTAAATGTGTTTAGGATTGCTGTTTTCATTTTCCCAACAAAAAGGCAAGTGGAGATCAGTTCAGAAATACCCTGCGAAATCCAAGTACAGTAATGTGACTGATGTAAATTGATTACAAGTGTACCCTAAATAAAATATTAGTAAGCAGGAAGTAGGCATGCAGCACTGAGTGATTTGGTGTCTGAACCAGCTGCCTCGGAATGCTTTTCAGTCTTCCTGTCTCACTCTGTAAGCACAAACTGGAAGGCAACAATGATATTTTGCTGGTATTTTGCAGCACAGACACTATAATCCACCTCTACTACAAGATGAATGAGTGGGGGGTTTATCTTCGAATCCTAAAAGGAAAACTACTATAAGCAGGCTTTCTCTGCCTTCCAAGACCTGAATATATTTCATTCCCTGGTTATGATTTGTATCCTTCTCTTTTCTTTTTCTTTTTTGAAAAAATCTCCTCCGGGTAGCAAAGTTCAGGAAAAGTGATTGCTAAAGCATGTATTAATTATTTTGTTTAGCAAGCTTCATACACTCCAGGCACATCACAAATCTCAACAAACAACCCATATTTTTAAAATGAAAGTGGCAGATCTTTTCTTTCTTTTCTTTTCTTTTTTTAAATGAAATTAAATCCATAGGATTCTCTGGGGAGGGGATGGTATTGATTTTGTTTGTTACTATGGGATTTTTGTGTTGTTTTTATATTGTAAACCACCCTGTGATGGGTGGTATAGAAATTTAAAAAATAATAATAATTACTAGGGTTTGTTTATTGTTCTTGGAGGGCACTAGGCATATGGCACTTCATGGAGAAGGAACTGTCTTCTGATACTGCAGAGAACATGGTCAGGTAAAAAATAATACTGGAGAGGGTTGCTAGGACAGGTTGCTGTGGTTTAAAAGTGACATAAAAATTTCAGCATGTGTTGCTTGCTATGGAAGTTCCATCAGCTGAAATTCCTTCTTCTACTTAAAAGGTGAAAGAAATATGTCCTCTTTTGCACCTGGCCGCTAAATTAGGCTTTAAAAAAAGAGCATGTATTATATACAGTGGTTCCACAATATATTCTGCCAACAAATCACCACCTAAAGTCCATATTTTGCAGAAGGGACTCAAATCCCTATACAAAATGCAGTGTTGTGCAATTAAAGTGGATTAAAGTGCATACAAATCAGAACAAATATTCAGTGAAGACCTACATATAAGCTTTGTGCAAGCAAATCAGAAGGAATATTCAATAAACAGGCCGTCTGGAAGGGACCTGAATAGATCCTCTCCTCTTAGTCAGAGATCCTTCTTTTCCATTCATTCCCTTCCATCTGCTCACCTGCCCACCCGCCATGCTCATGAGAATAGCATAAATCTGGAGTCTTCTTTTTGAGAGTTTCAAAATGCATGGCAGTCTTCAATGAATAGAAGGCCTCTTGTTTCACACTAGTGGTGGCTGATGAACATTTGCTTATTAAATTTGTGTAGTGCCCTTCCCCCGTGGATCCCAGGGTGGCTCACAACATAAAAATACAATATAAAAACACAAAATACATAATAAAAGTAAGAACAATCCCCCACCCTAATTTCCATCTTCCCCATACCTCCCACAAACACATTTAAAACGGGTACAATATGTTAATCAGCCAAAGGAACTTTTTTTTTTTGCCTAGTGCCTAAATATGTGTAATGGAGGCGCCAGACAAGCCTCCCTGGGGAGACTATTCCACAGATGGGGAGCCAATGCAGAAAAGATCTCTTGTGGGGAAGGCTCACTAGTTGGAGAGAAAGCAAGAAGACCAACAGAAGGTGGAGCCAGAGCCAATGGCAGGCAAAGCTTAAATGGTTGCAGATAAGGATGCGGAGCAGGTTGAGATTGGCTGAGATTCCCTATTTTCCTTAATGGGCTGGCCCCTCTACTTCATGCAGTTGCCAAACCTTCACTTGATGTGCAGTAACTCTGCCAGTTTCATAGCACTTGAGGAGTTCTTGAGTGAGATGGATTTCCTCTCCAGGGTTTTGGTTGCAGAGTTTAGAAAAGCCCTGCACAATCTGTTGTCCTACAGATGTTTTGGACTGTGATTCCCATAAGCCCCAATCAGCATGGCCATGATTAGGAATGGAGTTGCAGTCTGAAACATCTGGATGAAAGAGTTCAGGGAAGGCTTGGTTAGGTTGTCATCAGGGCTGGCCCAAGACAATTTGCTGCATTGTCCCTGGCAAGTCAAGGTACATAGTACCCCAGGATGCAGCCAAGTCCTTTTGATGTCTGGGTCAGAAAATGCCACAAAGTCCTCTCCCCCTCCCTGGCACTAGAAAGACAATAACCATCACTCACCTAACTTAACAGTTTGCTGCCTTTGCATCAATCAGTTGCTTGAGGCAAAGCTGTCACTCTGCCTAACAGTCGGGCTAGCCTCCACTGGCAAGACTAGGAATATCACTGAGTCATTAAACTCACTGGGTGACTGTAGGTCAGTCTCTAATGCCCCTCCCCTTCTCTTTCCATTAGTATCTCACAAAGATGTTGTGCAGAGGAAGCTGACTTATACTGAGTCAGACCACTGGTCCAGCTGGCTCAGTACACACTGACTGGCAGCAGCTTTTCAGGGATTCAGGCAGGAGACAATTCCCAGCTCTACCTGCCTATGGGCCTATGCAAAGACAATGTTCTGCCAACCAAGCTAAAATTTGGGCAGGGCTGCCCCAATGCATTTTGGCAGTGGTGGAGTGTTCCTTGCTGGTGCCTGGGGTAGGTGGGCACCAGGCAGTGGCGTAGCGTGGGGGGTGCAGGGGGGGCCGGCTGCACCGGGCGCAACATCTGGGGTTAGGGCAAATCCACAGGTTAGGGGGCGCAAATCCACGGGTTAGGGGGCCAAATTACTTGCCTTGCCCCGGGTGCTGACAACCCACGCTACACCACTGGCACCAGGGAGTGCACAGCACACTGTGGTGGAAGGACATGCCTGGAGCAACCCCTGCCCACTGGAGCTGTGAGCCCATGCTGCACTGCCTGCCTGGTTGTGCAGTGGGGAGCCCAGCCAGTCAACACGGCCCTGCTTTGAGGGGCGCACTCACGGTGCCCTGTGAGTCCAGTGCTGCTTTGCGAGACTTGCAAATGTGGTGCAGGGCTGGGAGGGTGCATGCCTGTTGTGACCCCCCCCCAAAAAAAAACCTGTCCCCAGGGCTAAGGCCCCCCAGCTCCACCCATGCGTCACCTCTGCATTCTGGCACCTGAGGCAAACCACAAAATGACACCTCCCCACTAGGGAGTGAGTGAATATTTACATCAGGAACAAGGGCGGGGGAAAGATCTACACTGGGAACAAGGGTGGGAGAAAACTAGCAGTGCCTCCTATTTGCCAAGAGGCTGCTGTAGAGGCAGCATGGGGAGTGCTGCCAAGGATGTGGCCGATTCAGCCTCCAAGGAGGACATCGCAGCCATTGCTGCCGCTGCAGTAGCAGCTGTAGCAGCAGACAATGCATTCCTGCTGCCCCTATGGATCCTGCCACCCAAGGCAATTGCGTCACCTTGCCTCGTGGATGGGTGGTGGAGAGAATGAGCTGCCCTTCCTTGAGGTCCCTGGAGAAAGACTGGAATCAAACAGAATTCAAATAAACATAGCAGGTGGTACCCAGTGATAGTCAGGCCCAGAGTCTTCTGGGATGGACCATTTGTGAGGAGCAGAGCACCTGCTAAGACAGCAGCCTAGGAGCCACCACCATGCCCCATTCATGCACTTGCACTTGGAAGTTCATCCATTCATCCATTTGCACTTGGAAGCTCCTGGGTTCAGTCCTCAGCAGGTCTCCAAGTAGGATTGGGGCTGCTGAATACTGAGCCAGACGGACCAGTCTCAGTATGAGCTAGCTCCCTATATATAGAGCAGAATCGCTTACTTCCATTTACTTAAATGGGACTACTCTGAATAAGTTGGGTATCACCCAAAGGGGAAGGAAAAAGATAAAAGGAAATGGATTTTTAGATTAATTATCTGTTACTTCTCTAAGACGAACGCCGAAGAACGATCCCAGCTCGGTCAGATCCTCGAGTTATTAGCCCCCTGCCTTCTTGTATTTATTAAAGGTGACTTATTGTTTTTGGGAGAAACGAGCGTCTTTCTGCCTCGCCTGATTTTTCCATGAGCTGAAAGCAGCAGCTTACAGAACCCTTAAGACCACGGGAGGAAAGCGGTGTGTGTGGGGGAATCTTTTTTTAACCCCCCCCTCCTTCTCTTCCCCCGCCTCCCTCATTTGCATTTCCCCCTCCATTCCCCGCCTCCTTTGCAGTGATGTCAGCCCCGGCGAGGACTTGCTGGCAGTGGTTGGGAAAGCGGAGTTCAGACGGCAGCAGCCGGAGCGCGGAGCGGATGCGGCCAGTGCGTGGAGCAGCAGCAGCAGCAGCAGCAGCAGCAACACGAATCGCGAGCCCCCGGGCGGGAGCGCGCCCGGAGTCTCCGGCTCGCCTTCGGAGGGAGTCCTGCGTAGACCGAGACAGCTCTTGGGGCAGACTGGCCACCTGAGCCCCGGGGAATAGACTTCCCCTCTCCTGGGAGGCGGGGACGGGATACCGTCTCGCCCTTAGCCGCCTCTTGTTCCGACCCCCTACATCACCAGCACCGCCGCCCCCAGCCGACCTCTCAGAGGGGCTCGGCACTCGAAAAGAAGGACGTTGTAAACCATCCCGGTGATTGCATAAAGCTGGAGGATTTCTTCCTTCCAAGTTGCAACGAATCTCTTCGTGCAAGTTCTTTTTTTCAGAAAAAAAAAGAAACCCAAACCAAGCCAGCCAGCAGCTTGCCAGACTTGGCCCCATCCTCTTCTTTCCAGCGTTCCTTTGGGTAGTTGAGAAGCCGGTGGGTACGCGGACTTCACTTGCCTTCCCCGGTCTCTCACTTGCCCTACAGCAGCAAGCGTGTTTGAATAACTCTTAAGTTAGGATCTCTTCGTTTTGTCTCTGTCTCTTGTCTCTCCTCACGCTGTGGAAGAAGGGCACCCCCCTCCCAGCCACCCCCACCAGTATCACTACTTCGTTTTTGATCTTACTGTTTTTCGTCCTAGACGATCTCCTCCGTACCCGTACCCATGTAATAATTCATTCCAAGATTCTGAGCAGAACAAGGATTTTCCTTTTCTTTACCCACCTCATGGTGCGCTTTTGGGTCTGACTTGAAGGCAACGGAAAGGAACGGCATGGCTGAGGAGCAGCTTTAGACGGAGATTCTCTTGCTCACACAAGGAATTCAAGGTAAGGCAGAGAAAGTGGGTGGTGCGTCTCGAGGAGAGCTGGGGAGAGACTTCGTCTAGGGAGAGCGCTGGCGGTCTACAAGCAAGCGCCTTCTCTCTATCTAGATTCTCCTTTCGCTTCCTTATCCTTCCACACGCTGTAGATCTTTGCAATCTAGGTATGCAGCGCTGGTACACCCGTGGCTTAGATTTTGCAGGGGTGGTGGTGGAAGAGAGAGAGCCAAACTGTGTAGCTTCTGGGAGGAGGGGAACCCCCCTTCCGCAAACTGATATGTGATGTGATCCCTCCCGATCGCTGAAGATCGCACGGTCTTTCTCCCTCCCTTTTGCAATGCAAAGCCCATCGCGAGCAGTTCAGCTTTTGAGTGTCAGGGTGCAGAGTACTTAGTGAAGGGGGGGGAGGGTCAGAGATGTGAATGGGGGAGGAAAAACATATGGAGTTTTTTATTGATGCAGTTTTAATCCTGTAATGGAGACTGCATTAGACGGGGGATTGCATTAAAAAAACCTGCTCTCTGTGTGTGACACACAAACACACACACACACAGAGAGAGAGAGAGAGAGAGAGAGAGAGACAGACAGACAGACAGACAGAGAGTAAGGGAAAGTAAAAAAACAACAACACTCCACCGACCAGCGATGTGCTGGATTGTAAATGAAGTTCCCTGATTGAAGGATTTCCTTGAACTCTGGTGATCAGCTTAAAGTTACTGTGCATTTGGCACATTAGAATAAGATGTAGCACAGATCAGTGTTTGGGTGGGTTGGCAGATATACTGGTGATTTCCTTGAGTCCTTGAATGAGCGGGAGAAGAAATTTAACATTTCATATCTCTAATAGCTAGTTCCAGCTCCGCATGGACCTGGAAAGGAAAGACTTAGGGGGCACTAAGCTAAGCACGGCTTTCTCTTTCCTTAGCAGTATTGGGAGAAAGTGAGTAAGATAGGAATCAGATTATGGCTCCCTCCCCCTTCCTAGGTAGAAATTGGTCACAGTGTGGATCTTTAAAACCTGCTGGCTGCAGATGGAAATGTTGCAGTTTGGCTGCAGAACGGAGGGTCTCTCTTTTCCTGCATGCAAGCTTAGCATAGTAATAACTTGTAAGAAGTAGCTCTGAGGTCTGAGATGAGGAGCAGGGGAGGAGGCATTAGCTTCTGTATGATCATGCGTGGGGAGGGGGGAGGGGGCGTGGACCATGAGAATACAGCATTGCCTTAAAATAGCTTGAGTGCAAGCATTTTGTTAAGAAGGCAAAAAATAAAGAGCCTGTTGCCTTACGCAAAGCCTGTGACTTCCATCCTGATCTGATGTTTTTAAATAAAATAAAAAGCAGAGAATATTGATAATGCAGGAGTGTTGGCCCATCAAAAATGGAAGGTGCCCTCAGAGCATCTCTTAGGGTCTCTGAGCATGATGCGATGGTGAAGGCAATAATATTTGAACTTCCCACTGTTGTAAATATGAAAATGCAGAAGATCCATGCAGAACTCTTGCTGCAAATGAGCCAAGGTTATAAACGAATGAAAGGATGCAAGTAAATATTGGGCTGAAATAAGAGCAATGAATTGTTTAAAGTGGGGCTGGGAGAAGTGTTGAGGCAAGAAGTTACTTCCTCTGCCCAGTGAACTCTTACAAAAGGAATGATTTCCTCCATAAGTAACACCACAGATTTAAAAATCTAATTAGAACCTCGTGGAGTTTTTATTTTATCTTACAATGTTTCCCAGATTGGTAATGGAAAATGACAGATGAGTGACTTCTTCTGTCAATGGAATTGGTGTGCAAGCTTGCAAGTTAAACAGAGTTCTTTATTGTGCAGAAAGTGTCCAGCAGAAACCTCTCCTGTAGCATTGCCAACAGCTCTAGGATGGGGCTAAGTTTCTCTCTCTCTCTCTCTCTCTCTCTCTCTCACACACACACACACACACACACACAGAGAGAGAGAGAGAGAGAGAGAGAGAGACTGACTTCAGTAAATATATTCAAATAAAGCTTTATTGGCTTGTCAGAAATGGTTTGTTTTCACATCTGAAATGTGAAAGGGAACTCGGGGTATGCCTTCATACTTGAATGCTTCCAAAACTGTGAATTTTGCATAAGATAAAGGTGAAAGCGAGAGAGGGAGGCATGAGTTTACATTATGCAGTACAGTACAGCACAGAAAAACCCCACTAAGCAAAAACTAAAAACAACCCCCCACGTTTTTTTCATCTATATATTGTGTGTGTGTATCTGTGTAGAAAAATTGGCATGTGGGTGTCAATTGCAAAGACGGGATCAGAATATCAATGACTTAAACCCTGGAGACGCAAGGGGTTAGCTTGATAAGCAAAAGGCAAGCTCTTTTGAAGAGTGAGCTGGCAGAGAGAGGTCTTTAAATTTCCAGGCATGTTCTACTTCAGCTGTGTCTGTAGTCAAATCTGAAAATAAAACTGAACATTACTTAAGTCAATGATTCTTGGGATATATATATATATATATATATGGATGGTATGGCAGAATCAACTCTCTCTCATGGGTAGCAAGTAACGAGATGCTGCTGTTATTGCAAGATGTGTGAACGTTTTCTATTTAAATCCTCCTTCTGTCAAATTAAACAGTTAAGGTGCATATCTGTTGCTTTATTTCTTCCCTCAAGGTGGTTACCCATACAGATAACTGTTTGCATTTTAATTCTCCCACCCCATAAAGAAGTATTATTGCTTCATGGCTGTATAGCTCTTCCTTCTTTTCTTTTAAACATGACCATAGTTGCAGGATAATTTATATTCAGCATAGGACTGTCTGCTTGGTACAATTGGTTTTATACATCACAGCTCCTCAAAAAGGAAGATCAAAGATTTGGACCTGTAACACATTTGTATTCTGCATGGGCCTAGGCAACATTCTGTCGGTCTCTCACATAGTTAAGATTGTGTCCATCTCCTTCCGTTCTTTTTAGCACTCAATTTGCTTAGTGGTTTATTATTTACCCATCCAAATTGTGCTTTGAGCTGTAACCAGAGCCTACTGATGCAGCCTGCATTATTTGCACACATTGCAGGCTGCTAAAGTCTGTTTCTGATGGTGATCATCAGAAAGTGGTGAGGGTCTAAGGGCTGGAAGAACCTGACCTTTTTTTATATAAAGAAAAAACAAAGCTTCTGGTTTCTTTGTGTTCTAGATGACTGCTTGATTCATGTTATGGGCTTGGTGAAGCTTTTCCTGGGACAGATGAGCATCACTGTTGGAAGGAAGGAATGTGTTGGGTTGGCTTTGGTTCACTCTGGGAACTGTAGGTGGTTTAACTTCTGATAGTGCACTTCAGTCAAAGTTACGGTTGATATCCAAACAGAATGAAGGTACATTGTAGTATAAGGTAACGGAGTTTTAGGAATTGGAAGCAGCAAAATATAAACCTGCATAGTTCAGTACTGGCATATAGTACGTGAATCGTGATTTGGAATGCTATAGAATGTGTTTCACCATTCCATTCCTTTGTTCACAAAGATATAGTTAACGCAGCACATAAAATTAGTGAGGCTACCTAAATGGTGTGTTGGCTTTATGCAGAACATTGTTTTCTCCAGTGAATTCAAAGGGTAGAGAATGTACTATGAGGATGTAGGCAAGCTTTTCTCTCTTCTGGTCTTGCATTCTCTTTGTTTTTGTAGCCTCAGACTGGTTGACCTCATATGTCTATGATTTGGTTCTAGGCATAATTATTCTCAACTTAAGTCAACCTCATTGTATTTTGTGGGGGTTACTCCACAGTGAGTGCAATCTGAGAGCACTGCCTTGATGCGCTAAGAATGATAGCGAGTGATTTGCTCTGCAAGGTTATTGGGAAGAAGGAACACATAGACTTGTGCATTCTACAAGTCCTAGCGAAATGTTGAGCAACGGGAAAACAATGAATTCCCCATTCCATATGTTTGACTTTCTGCCCATAAGTGCCATTCCATAGCACTGTTGGAGCTCTGTACACATCATGTACATGGAAAGTTCATGTGAAATGTTCTGTGGGAATTTTGCACATGACTTGGATTTTGAGCCATTGGGCTGCTTGCTGTTTGCCCTTGGCTTAAGCTTGATGGGATGAGCACATCCCTTGGTAGATGCTTGTCTGCTTCTAAGTAGTTCAGAGGCGGTGGTGTGTGAGCTACCTGGAAGTAGGGTCGTACAAGTCATAAGAGTCAGTTCTGTTATCTGTGTCCAAAAACTGGCACTATGTTCCTCTGTGCATAATACTACAGAAAATAAGAGGATGACGAAATCCCTGGTTTTGCAATTCTGAAAACACTTGCCCTTGATAGGACACATGTCCTTGGGAAGAAGGTGGTTCTCTGTGTTTAATGTTGACCTGCTCTCTCAGAACTCCAACATCCTCTAGCTCATTTGAAAGTCTCATTGATGTTGAGTTAGCAGGGTCAGGATTCTAGCCCTGGAGGTTCTTCCTACCTTGAAGCAAATGTGGTGCAGAAGCACTGTGCTGTCTGCAGCCTCATCTTGCTTGGGAGCAAGTCCTGGTGATGTCACTGGTCTATATCCCTGAGCAATTGTGTAGAGTGCTGCGCTGCAGCCATTTTGTTGCCTACAGTGGCCAAGTGTGTGAAACTGAACTTTAACACAGGCTTCTCCTGAAGGCTGATGCTCTAGGCAGAAATAAGTGCTTAGACATAGGAATGAAAGGATGAAATAAGGAGCAGGGGGAAAAAAAAGTAAATTGGAAGGGTGCATTCCATTATCCTATGGGGTTTGCAAAGGGACTTTCTGCATTTCATTATTCCAAATGTTTGAAAGTCAATCTCTTTCAATTATTGTCTGAGTTTAGTAGAGTGACTTGACAGAAATTGTATAACATGCTATCACCTTTCTCTGCTTGCAAAATCCCTGTTAGCAGATTTTAAACTTCACTTCTAACTCTTTTGTGTTGTGGATGGAATAAAAGTGGCCTCTGTAGAATATCGATTTATCACCAGCAGCAGATATGTTACTTATTTTAAAACCTTATTTCCCTC